GGGGGGGAGGGGAGAAGGGGGTGGAAGAGAGTCCTGCCTAAGACCAGAAGACTGTTTCAGGGTCAGCAAGGGACTGACCTCAGTCAGTCAGACTGACCCTTCCAGACCTCAGTATCCCCATCTGTACAGAGAGGTTGATCTGACTGGAGCCGGCAGGTTTTAGGATGGTGCTGTGTGTTTTTGATGAAATGATTGGGGTATAGCTGCCTCTCCCTTTCCAGTGACTCGGAATGATTTCTTAATGGAATCCAGTTTATTGCTGTGATCCATGCTGACAGGGGACTGATACTGTTTTTTCCAGGAGGGGCCTTTTAGCCTGGCTGGAAATGAAGGGGGGTTTGGAGGCTATTTCTGGCAGATGGAGGTGGGTGAACAGTGTGGGGGTGGGAGGTGTCAGGGGCCCCTGGGGGGAAACCTGAGTCAGGGTCTGGGAAGAAGGGCTGGTGCCGAGGGCGAGGGCGAGGAGGGGCTCGGCAGCTGGGAGGGGAGCTGGTGGGACAGGAATGTCCCTCCTCCTGACACCTGTCCCCAGGCTCCTCGACCTTTGACCACATCCCACAAACACTCCCGGGGAGAAGGGCCAGGAGGTAAGCCTCAGTGCAGTCAGGTACACCCACACCTAAAATAGAGGTATTAGTAACAAACTGTTTAGAGTCTGACACGGGCCAGGGCCTGTTCCAAGTGTTCACAAGGCTTCACTCGGTCAAGCCTCCCAAGCGTATGAGCTACACATGCTCTTAGCCCCATTCGACAGATGGGGAATCTGGGCTCAGAGACATGAAGTGCCCTGCTCAAGGACACACAGCTCCTGAGCAGTGGGGCCCCTGGGTGCCTGTAAGGATGGGCGGGCTACCACTTGCAATGACATGGGTGGCGATAGAGTGTATTATGCTAAGTGAAATAAGTCAGTCAGAGAAAGACAAATACCATATGATCTCACTCATATGTGGAATTTGAGAAAGAAAACAGATGAACATATGGGAAGGGGGAAAAGAAAAAAAGGAGAGAGGGAAACAAGCCATAAGAGACTCTTAACAACAGAGAACAAACTGAGGGTTGCTGGAGGAGAGGGAGGTGGGGGATGGGCTAGATGGGTGACGGGCATTAAGGAGGGCACTTGTTGGGATGAGCACTGGGTGTTGTGTGTAAGTGATAAATCACTGAATTCTACTCCTGAAACCAGTATTGCACTGTATGTTAACCAACTAGAATTTAAATTAAAAAAGAAAAAAAAAGGATGGGTAGGCTAGGCTTGGAGACAAGGAATGGTCAGGACATGAGTGCTGGGTGAGCCAGAGGAGGAAGGAAACTCAACTATCTTGAGGAGGGAGGGTGGGAATCTGGAAAAGGCAAGCCTTCATCTGGGCCTTGAAGGATCGACACAATTGAGACAGCATGAAATGTGCAGGGAAGGGTTTTCCGGTAGGCGGGAACAGCATAAACCGAGGCATAGAGGCAAGCCAGGGCAGGGGACAGTTGGGACAGGGCAAGCAGCCTGGCAGGGGTCTCTACCAGTGCTTTGTGGGTCACAAGGCACTTTCTGCCCTGAAAGTGCCTTGAGGCCTGTAATCTCCGGCATTTTCTGGGAGGGCCGAGGGGTGGCTGACCCCTACCCTCTCTTGTGGTTTCACGAGTTGGAGGGTAAAGCCTGGCAGCCTTGGGCCCCAGAGGCAGGACTGGACATCGTGGAGGCACAGAGAGCCCTGTTCCTCTCGGACCTACGTGGAGAAGTCCACTGCAGTCTAGGAGGCTGTGGATGGACAGGAAGCTGGCCATTCCTTCCCGTGAGCCAGAGAATGGCCTCTGTGTGAGCCACAACAAAAAGGCTTTTCTGCCAAGTCGGAGGGGGAGGAAGCGGCCAGCTTGGCCCCTGCCCCAGCCTGAAAGGGGGCTCTGTTGGTGTCCCTGGGGTCTTCAGCGCCTAGAATGTGTGGGGAGGGAAGACCAGGGTGGGCAGGGGCCTCCTCATTGCTGTCTCTATTCTCCAGCAGCACCAGGGTAAGCTGGGGCTAAGCTGCTGTGCAAGTCAGTCTGTCTGGGTTCTTCTCCCAGCGTGGCCGTGTCCTGGCCGTGTGACCTTGGCCAAGTCACTTGAGCTCGCTGAGCCCCACTTTTCTCATGAATAAAATGTAAGCCGAGGAGTGTGCAAGTCGACACTGAGCACTTGCCATGTGCCAGGCACCGTGGTGGCCGGCGCTGTACAGTTGCCCATCCTCCGTTCACCCCCCCAGCGGCCCGTGCAGCAGGTCGCGTTACCCCCTCCGTGGAGATGTAAGCACCCAGGGCGTCGGGCCGAAGCCCAGGATTTTAGACTCTAAAACTCCAAGCTGTGCAAATGCGAGGGAAAAAAGGCTGGAAGAAACACACCAAACCGTCAACACTGGCCTGGGGAGAGATGGCTTAGATTTTGCTGCTTTTTGTGTATCTATTAAGTCTTAATTATCTTACTTAGGAATTAGCAAGACAGGTGCTGTGGGGCCCATGGTGAGTTTAGGTGCAGCCACATTAAACAAAACCAATTTAAAGATGCAGGTTCCTGTTAATCCTGGGGGAGGGGGAGGGGGAGGGGGTGTCAAGTTGTGAGGCAGGGCTGAGGCCTGACACCATACCTCAGAGACCTTCACACCCATGGGCTCACCAGATGAGCTGTTCCTCCAGCCACGGGGTGGTTTTGAGATTTTACCAGAGAGTTTGGGGGTAGAAGTCTCCTCAGGAGATTTCCTGAGAAGCCGAGGCCTCCTCTGCCAAGTCTCTTCCCTGGCCTGGGTTCTAAGGAAGAGCTCGGTGAGAGGTCTCGCGTCCTCTCCTTTTTCGTCCCTGTGCCCCCACTTGCCTGGTGACTGCTGGGCTTCAAGCAGAAGGCAGACCTGGGTGGGGCCCTGTGGCTTCTGCCACAAGAAAGCTGATAAGATGGTGTCTGCCCTGGACCCCCATGCTGCCCGCCAAGGCCCCTGTGGTGGGGATGGTTCACGGGCCATTTCCTAGCTGAGCCTGAGAGGCCTTTGGGGCTTCCTCAGCCAGTTTTCAACACAAAGAGAGGAAAGGGTGGGATCGAGGGGGGCTGGTAGGAGGTGTGCTGCTGAGGGGTGGGTGGGGCCTGGAACAGGTTGAAGGACCCTGCCCCAGCTATTGTGGAGGCCTGCTCCATGGTTGGGGTGGAACCCCACTACAGCAGACCATTGCATTTCTGGGGGTGCAGGCCAGTGCCCAGTAGCTTGGCCCAGAGGATGGATGTGGGGTCCAAGGCTTGCCAGCCATGCCCAGACCCCAGGGGCAGTAAAGCTTCAGTCTCGTACTCTCTTGGGCCTCGTCTGCAGGCTGCCCAGGGTGAGATCTCCTGCTTTTTCAAAGATGACAAGGCAGATCTTGGGTGCCCCACCCCACCCCCAGCCTTTGAGCGGAGCATGTGGTAAGGAGAACTTTCCAAATCCAAAGCGGTACCACTTCCCATCTCTTGCCTCCAAGCTGGGTCTTCAGGCTGCCCAGAACCCAGTCTGGATGGGTGGAAGAAAGGCGGGGGGCGTGGCCTGGCATTCCCACGCCTCCTAGACACACACTGCGTGTGGGAAGCTGGGATGCCCTTTCTCACTGGGAATGAATGTCCAGTAAATTCTGCACTCTTTCTCTGCCCCACCCCAGCAGGGCCAACCCCAGTCCCCTGCCCAACCTGCTTCTGGTGCCCTCACTCTTCCTCTGAGCTCTGCCCCTCCCAGGGCTACTGGGAAGGAACCCCGGAGAACTGGGAACAAGGTGTCTTCCGCATGGAGGGCAAGTGCCCTAATCGCGGCCTGGACTCCTGTCACCCACAGCCCCACCGGCCCAGGGCCTCTTACAATGAGGCCACACTTGCCAGCTGTACAATTTAATCAGTGCAGAGTATTTACAGAAAGAAAAGTATGGGGGTGGACACTGCCCTCCACCCCCCATCCCTTGGCTGGCTCTCCGGTTCTGAGGATGGAGGGGGGAGTAAGCTGCCAGACCCGACCTCCAGGCCAGTCCATGAGATGCATCTCCCTCCAGGGGCCTTGGGGGTCTGGGTGGCAGACCCGCTTGCTCAGGGCTGAGGGGAAGCAGAGGGGATGGAGCCGGCCCTACAGTACCATTTCCACAGCAGCCTTGCCTCCTGCTTACTTTGGGAAGGAAAAGGAGGAAGCGTCCCTGCCCTTAGGGCTGAGCCAAGGAGAAGGGGAGTCTCCAGGCCACAGTGGGCTCCTTTGGGGGCTCCACAGCCGCATCCCGCAAGTCTCTGTGAGGGGCTGAGCTGCTGGCCTCTCTCCACCAGTGTCCCTCCTCCCAGTGCCCTGGGGGACAGGGAGCTGGAGGGGAGGAACCCCCAAGCCGGGTGCATGGTGGGCTGTGGGCGCCCATCAGCCCCCTATCTTCCTGGGACCGCTGGGAGCCTGGCAGCTGGTGCCTGAGGCTGGTGGGGTTCCGAGACCCCTGAGGACGGTGGTGTGGGTGAGGGAGAGTGGAAGCCCAGGGAAGGAGTCCAGATGGGTCATAGCTCAGAGAGGAGTGGACAGGGGCTGGAAGCCCAGCCTGGGGGTGGGGTGAGGCCTCTGGGTGGAGGGGCCTTGGCAGACCCCCTTTGGTCCTTGGTAAGGCAGGCCCAGGGCCTCTTCTGCAGAGAGGGGAGGAGGTGCAGGCTCAAGGGGTATGTGGGAGCTGGGGAGTATGGGCCCCTCGGCTGGCCAGGGCCAGGGTAGGCGTTGGTAATGGGTTGACAGGGGTAGGCGGGGAAGGAATCAAAACTCCACAGGACTCAGGGCCAGTAGGCCACCTCACCCTTCTGTCCCCTGTGGCCAGGGGCTGCCCCTGGGTGAAAACTCTTCTAAGCCAGAGATTCAGGTGGGTGGAGACCAGTCAGGCCCCACCCGTCTCCAAAGCCAGCCCAGGCTGAGGAGGGCCCAGGGCGGTAAGGAGCCTCAGAAACCCTTTAGCCACTTTCCAGCTGGCCTTCTGACCCTCTGCTCCTCTGGCTGTCGCCAAGCCAGAGGTGTGTGTGGGGGGGAGGCGAGGGGCTCACTCCCTGTCCGGAGCAGGACTCCATTTAGAAAGCTCTAACCCCTGCCCGGAGGGACCGCTGCTCCTGGTCAGCAAAGTAGAAACAAATACTCAATTAGTGTGCAAAAACAAAACAAAAAAAACCACAAACCATCAACAACAAAACCTGGGCATAAATAAACAACGGGGCGGGGCCGGCAGGGACGGCGGAGGGCCTGCAGGCCCCCCTAGGGGCTGAGGGAGCCCTGGAAGGCTGCGGCTCGCTGCCCAGCAGCCCCGCCCCCGCAGCGCGGAGAGGGGCAGGAGGGCGGGGCGCGGCGCGTCAGACCCACTCCTGCAGGGAGCGCTTGCAGTAGAGGAGCGCGCGCGGCGCGCCCTTGCGCTGCATCCGCACCAGGGCGTAGCTGAGGCCCAGGACGGACAGGAGCAGCAGCAGCGGCGGCACCAGCACCAGCACCACGCTCACCGTCCGCGGCACGTCCTCCATCTGCACCACCACGCGGCTGCCCCCGTCCTCGCCTGTCCCCTCCCCGCCGCCCGCGCCGGCCTCACGGCCCTCCTCGCCGTCCTCGTCGTCTCCGCCCGCCGCGGGCTCTGCACCCCCGTCGGGGTTGAAGGGCGGACGGGCCACATCGGGCCATCGGGGTCCCGGCTCCACGTGCTCTTGGCAGCCCATGAAGTCCCGCAGAATGGATTTGGGGTAGCCCGGCTCCATCCGCAGGCGCTCGTTGTCGAACTTCCAGTACTTGGTGCCCTTGTAGAAGTATGTGTAGGCTGCGGGGGCGGGGGGGGGCAAGCGGGGATGAGTGGTGTCAGGCCGCGCCCCACCCACCCGCCCGAGACCCTCAAAGAAGACCAGGACATGCTGAAGGCGCCCCGGCTTTAAAGTACCCCCCCTCCTCACTTGCTGGCCTGACTACTTTCAAATCTGCTCCCTCCCAACATACAGAAGCCAGACCGGGCTCAGAGACGGGTGGGTTTGGGTCAAGGGCCTGACTATGCTTCGGTGCTTCCTGGCTGGGCTGACATTGACCGGGGTGGGACGCGGAAGGGTTTTGCAGCCCGCTGCGTCCCAGGCTACAGTCAGGCGGCCCTGCTACCCTGTCCCAGGACTGGCTCCAGCCCACACCAGAGAGGCCAGTGTCTTGCTCAGGGCCACATAGCCAGCCTGCAGCTTGGGCTGGAACAGAGCCCAACGCTGCCTTAGACAAGCTCTGCGGCCTTGGGCACCTTGCCCACATGCCTTCAGCCCCAGGAAGGGTCAAGTCTGAACTGTGGGTGAGTCTATACTCTGCTGGACACAATGAGATCAGAGCGGCTGCAGAGTGATGCCATCATACACAGACGCCATGTGACCTGCCTAAGCACCGGCAAAGCCAGCAGGGCCTCCCCTGAGCTCAAGAACCAGGAACCTGAGAACCAAGACTAATGGTTTTTCTTAAGGTCGCCGGAGACCCTGCTGGAGAAATAAAAGCCACAGCTCCCTTTTGCTCAGTTATAGTGACAGAGGTCAAGCTTCCTTTCCAGGTGGGAAAGTGGGCACCCTGGGAGGACCCTTGCCCCCCATTGACCTGAGCCAAGCTCACCCCCCTCAGGATTCAGACTCCCAGTGGGCTGCCCAGGCCCCGCTGGACTCTGCAGGGAGCAAGGCCATCCCGAGTGCCAGCTCTGGACACAGGCAGACCTGGGTTGGACTCTTGACTCCCCAACTCCCTTGTGGTGGGACTTGGGGCCCTTTACTCAAACTCGCTGGTTCAGTTTGACTGTCTGTAAAAAGGGGATGGAGACAATGCAGGAAGGATCAGGAGAGTCATGCTTTGGAAGCCCCTGGCCCAGGGCCTGACACAGTGTCCCCCATACCTGCCATCGCAATGCTGGGTGAATCCTGGGTGTGGAGGAGGGGGGATGGTGAGTGCTAGGCAGACTGCAGGGGGTTGGCCCTGGTACCTGCATCATTGCTCAGGAAGGCCCCTTTGGGAGAGGTAGGGATCCCTTGCCAGACACTAATGGGCTTGGGGTAGCCGGGGTCTCCACGCTGCGTCTCCTCATTGAAGCGCCAGTACCTGTGACCAAAAGCACCGGGTGTGGGTTTTCTTTGGGTGGGGGGGGTTGGACTGGGGCCTTCTCGCTTTGGGGTAGGGGGTGCTCACCTGTCCTCCTGGAAGAAGAAGGTGTGACCTGTGGGTTCCCACCAGATGGCCGTGTCGATGTGGTCATAGGGGATGCCCAGGCCATAGCTGGTCAGTGGCTGTGGGTAGCCAGGCTCCAGGTTCGCTTCTCGGAAGAGCCAGTAGCGGTCACCTGCAGGAGTGGGGGATGGGCGAGGACAGGCCTGGGGCTGAGGGGGCTGGGTGGGGAGGGGACTCGGGGAATGCGATCCTGGGCCCACAAATCCATTCACATCCATGGCCACACTCACACACACACACACACTCTCTCTCTCTCTCTCTCTCACCACACATACACACAATCATACCCCTACACATACCCAAGACAACGCACAATGCAACTCACTTGCATGTCACCCGCACTTGGCACTCATGGGCACCTGCGACATACTCACACACGTACAAGTCACTCACTCACACCTACACACACCACACAGTCACCCTATACATGGCCTGCATTACCGCGTGAACATCTGCCCGCCCCCATAAACAGTTCTTGTACAGAGAGAGGAAAGAGGGGGAGCCCTGCTTGGCTTCTGGGCCTGGGGGCTTTTAGCATGAGCTGAGGCCGGCAGGGGGCTGGGGACACAGCTAGTCCGTTGGGGGGTGCTGCCCTTGAGGCCCTCCCAAGGGGGGTAAGGCCCCTGAGGGAGAGCTGGTGGTAGGGAGCTCCGTTGTCGCTGCTGGCAGAACCCAGAAATCCTGCCCGAGTGGGCTTGGGGGATCTGTTCTTACGAGGAGGGGCTGCGGAGGCACAAGAGGCCAGGAAGGAGGGAACTGATGCGGAGCCCCCACTTTGCGGAGGATGGACTCTCACCTCTAATAGGAGCATCCTCTGGCCCTCAGGGGCTCGGGTGTCTCCTGGTTTCCGTCTACCTCCCCCACCCCTGCCTTGACTTGTCTCCCCCCACAGTGGACAACAGGATGACACATGCAACGTAGCCCTTTGCTCTCTTTCTCCCTCAGGCCCGCTGGGTCAGAGGCCAGGCCAGAGGCCAGGGCAGGAAGGCTGCCCAGGCCTCCCACCTGCCCCAGCTTACCTTTAAAGAAGACAAAACGCCCATCTTGGCGCTCGTAGGCAGCACTGATGTCACTGGGCAGACCACGCCAGAAGTGCCCGATGGGCATGGGATAGTTGTCCAGGACACGGTTGTGTCGAACCCGCCAGAACCAGCGGCCCTGGGGAAGGCGTGTGTGTGAGTGGGCAGAGCAAGCCTCCTCCTGGGAGAGGCATCTCCTTGATCCACCCCTTCCCAGGTCAGGGAGATCTGGAGGGGTAGCTCGGAAGGCCAGGGCGGCCCCGGGGAGGGAGCCCTGGGTGGGGCATAGGCCCCTGCAGGTCTGTGTCACCCTGGTCAAGCCCCTTGTCCCTCAGGCTGGTTTCTTCTTGGTCTAGGGTCTGATGGCTCCCCATAGGCTGCTCAGTGAAGGAGGGGTGGGGTTGCCTGGGCAGCCAGGTGGGGAAAGGCTCCAGGGAGTGGGATGTGGGGCTTGCTCTCCTGCTCTGAGATGGGGCCAAGGGGCTAGGGGAGGCATGGGCAGGGACCAGACCTTGAACACGAACATCTCCCCACGCAGCATGGCTACTGTGTCAAAGTCCCCGTCGCAGATGTTGGGGCCATACTGGTCAGGCCGTTCCGTGGCTCGGGGCTGGGCTGGGGGGCCTGGCTTTGGGGGCCGCTCCGGCTTCCCACCTGGGGGTGGTGCCTGGGGGGGCCTGGGGGGCTGATGATCTGGCCGGCCTGGTCGCCGGGGAGTCACGGTGGGGAGAGGCCGGGTGGGCTGTGGCTGGCCATCCGGGGTGCCTGCAGAGTGGGGTGAGGGGAGTGGGAAGTCAGCAGGTAGCGCCAGAACCCAGCCAGGATGCCAGGTTCTCCTACTCAGAACCAGGGGACCCTGGGGCCCCCAGCCCGGAGGGATATTTGCCTCGGTGGTAGGCCTAGCCAGGTGCAAGTCCCTGTTTGTCCATAGTAGACCCCTCCCCCATACCAGCTATCACCCTCAGGACCTCCATCCTCCTCCATACAGCCCCCTCCTCGACCTCCCCACACTGGACGTGGGTCACTGTGCCCCTGAGGCTGCCCCTGACTCCACGTTCCCTTGGGGACAGTCCCCTCAGGACACTAGCCTGCTTCAGTGGACCAGGAAGTAGGGACACATGCAGAGGAGAGAACACGGCCCTGTGACCTCTGCCGAGGGCCCATCTCGTTGCCAGGTTGCCGGGGTGTCTGTAAGGGACTGTCTGCCATGTGCCCCGCAGGGCAGGTACCGCCAGCCCTAACAAGGGGCTCAGTGGGGCACTGGGCACAGGCCCTGACCCACAGTACTGGTCCTCAGGAGACCTTACCACTGGAGGCCTTCTTGGGTGGGGCCTGAGTGGGGGGTACCACCTGCCTCAAAGCCACTGGGCAGTGATAAGCCAACAACACTCACTGGAGAGGCTGCGGTTGGGAGCAAGAGTGGGAGGAACGGGGTCTGGGACCCCAGGGGCATTCCCAATCTGATAATATTACCACTGACCCCGAGGAGGAAAGGAGGGGTCAGTGAGGGGCTTTGGGGACCCCAGCCTGGAGCCCCCATGAAGGCCCTGGGGGAGGGCCAGGCCCTAGAGTCGGTCAGCCCTGGGTGTGATTTCTAGCCCCATCAGTTACTCACTGAGTGATGTGGACAAGTCACTAATCCTCTCTGGACCCGTTTCCTCATCTACGAAACAGGGTTAGCGGTGCTACTTATGCCTCGTCGGGCTGGGAGTTGAGAGCCGGCGTGCAGAGCTCCCCTAGCCATACGCACGCTGCCCGCTCACCGTAGAGCTGCTGGATGCCCCGGAGGTCGTCCTCGGGCAGCTGGAAGGTGTCGGTGTCCATCCACTGGTAGAACGGCGCCATGATGGCGCTGGGGTTGCTAGAGTGCTCCAGCCCTAGCGCATGGCCCAGCTCATGCACTGCCACCAGGAAGAGGCTGTTCCCTGCGGTGGGGGCGGGCAGCACAGTCAGACCTGGCCTAGCACCCGGCCACCACAGGCCCTGTGGGCTGACGCTATCAGAGAGCTGGCCCTTCTGCCAATCTTAGGAGAGGCTGAGCTGCTCTTGACTGCTGGGCCTCAAGCTTCCCCACCTGGGAAATGGGTACGATGATCCCTTCCCTTCCCTACCACCCCTTAGAGATCCTGGGATGATAGACTGAGATGGAGGGTCAGTGCTCCAGAGAAATGCGCAAGGGAAGCTCTCCCCTCCCAACCCTGTAACTGCTGAACCGGCTCAGAGGGCAATGCCCAGGGCCGGCTGTGCCTCCCCTCCCCTGCCCTGGCCAGGTGTCCTCACCATGCAGGTCAGTGCTGGAGAAGGTCCAGGGCTCATCTGCATCGAAATGGGTATCCCCGCCCAGACCAGGGCCAGGGAAATAGGCGTGAGCCAGAAAGCCCCCCGTGCCATCAAATGGTGAGCTGTCGCCGTGGAAACCAGAGGCAAAGAGTACCATGATGTCAGCCTCCTTCTGCCGCCGCAGTCGGATGTCCTCGTAGGGCACCTCCTGGAAGATCAGGGGTGTGGCCTGCTCCCACACGCGGAAGGCCCTTCGCACTGCCTCCAGTGAGTGGTACCATCCCAGCTTCTCTGTGTAGTTCTGGATGCTGCAGGTGGGCAGGGAGACAACGAGTGAACCCAGGGCCTACTGGGTTCCACTGTCCACTGCTAGCACCCACTGGGTGGGGAAGACACATGGTCCCAAGAGACATGCCTAAGATCTGAGCTGGTTCACCGACAGTGCCCATCAATACCAACCATTAGTTTATTCTGATGTGAATTTGAGAAGGAGAACTAACACTTCAAACCCGGGAGCTCATGAGGATATCACTAAATAAGGTTGCATGGCGCCCAATTAGCTTAAATAAGAAAACCATGAAGCAAATAAAAGAACAGGTGCTATGTAGCTAAGAGAAAGAACTAGACGGTTTGGAGACAAATGGCTGAGGTTTAGGAAATACTGGCCAAGCGGTTCTGATTATTGGACTGTAGGGTCAGGCTGTCCCGAGTTCAAGGCCGGGCTCTGACATGATTTACATGACCTTGGGCAAGCGACTTCGTCTTTCTGTATTTCAGTTTCTGCATCTGTAAAATGGGAAAAGGAGAGTCCTGCTCTCATCTTGGGGAGCTGGGAGGATGACGTGAATGAGCTCATGGAGAACACGGGCCCCGAGTCTGCACGTGATAAAGGCAGGAGGAGGCCTGGTATTAGCCACATAAATCAGATTAAGCTTCTGTGTGCTGGACAGATCTCCATTAAAAGCTGGTTGGGCCATGACTTCGCTCTGGGGGCCTGGGGTCTAAGTGGCCACAGGAGCCGCTCTTCCTCGGGAGATGAGCTGCGGGTGGGGCCGTGGCTGGACTAAAACAGGAAGGGGATCCCTTGGGGACTGCCACGTGGCTGGGCGGCAGAGGGGGGGATTCTTGCCAAAGGAGGAGGGTGCCTGGACCAGGGTTTTTGCAGGGGACTTGCTGTCTGCCCACTTGACAGATGCCTGGATTCCAACACCTTGCCACCCCCCCACCCCTTAGATGCCTGAAGCCCCGTGTGCCAGGCACTGCGGAGGCCCCCATCTGTGCGGCCAGCCCCCCAGCTGCTGGTGGGTGGGGCGGGGAGCCGGGAGGGAAGGAGGACAGAGCGGAAGCAGCTCCAAGGGTCCTGACCTTCGCTGGGGGAAGACTGCCTAGGATATGCGGCTGATCTTGTCAGCGTGGGAGCGGGTCGGACGGTCTATGCTGGGCACCCTGGGGTGGGCTTCTGGGAAAGGAAGCCTTCCAGACAAGCCCCCTGGGAAGCCTGAGGCCTCGGCCCAGGTGGGGAGGGGAGTAGGCAGTGTCCGGCCGATGCCGTGGGAGGGCTGCTGCCCTGGACAGCCGAGGTCCCTACCTGAAGGTCAGCTGGTAGCTGCTCCACCTCCTCCCCGTGAGGGCATAGCGTTTCCGCCGCCGTCGCAGGTTGGCTTTCACACGCACCCCAAACTGGTCTGGCACCCCGCAGCGGGGTCGCTTCATCCACCTGCATCACGGGCACAGAGTATTAAGCCCAGACCCTCCCTCCTGATGCCTGCCTGCTTTGGCTCTGCCTCTTCCAGGCAGTCCACCTTCTTCCATCCTTTTGCCTTTGGCCTCCAGTTGCCCTTTGTATGGGTGTCGTGGGGGTGGGACTCTCTCTGCCCTTCAGTTTCCTCATCAGAGAAACAGGCACGTTGACTCAGACTGGAAGACCGAGTGCCCAGCAGGGGCTCCACGAAGGTGAGCCCCCTTTCACCGGTATCACCCAGGAATGGGAGAGTTACTCCTGAGGCCCTCCGTCCGTGATACGTTATGCTCAGCGCGTGCTCAAGGATGCAATTTTGGGTCCCGTCACCTCGGTCAGACTCAGCGCGGCACCAAATGTCCCAGCCAGGGCCCAGGGCCCGCGTGCTGCTTCCCCCCATCCCCTGTGCCTGTGGCAGACATCACTAATCAATCCCGTGCTCCTTGCTGCCCAGCCCGATTCGCCTCAGGAGCTTCCGCAACACAAAGCTTCAGGCCGCCTCTCCCAGCCAGTGAGAACGAGCACAGGGAAGACCCAGCCATCTGCCATTTCTTATCTAAGCCTCTCTGTTCTGGAAACTCCACCTGCCAAACCCCTGTCAGAGCAGGCCAGAAGGAGGGCAGGTGCCACTGGGGCCTGGGAAGGGCCCGACGGAGGGACTCACGCCTTGGTTTCTTCATCGAGCACGCCCGTGACGGGAATCCCATAGAAGCGCTGCATCTCGGCCAGGGCTGAGGCCAGGATCTGGGCGGAGCGCATGGTGGACATGTGACGGCTCGGCTGGGGCAGGTAGCCGTAGAGCCTCAGCCAGTTCTGCAAAGGAGAGGCCACCCCTGCCTCAGCATGACTGGCGCCGCTACCTCTGAACACATGCAGCCTGCACCCGATGACCGCCTGCCAGGGCTGCCACCCCCTCCTGCTGCTGGTGACCGTGTGAGCCTTCGTACTGCTCTCCCCGTGTCCACTCCTGCGGTCTGTTCTCACACAAGAGCCAGAACAAAAGGCCTTTACAAGTCAGGTCTGGTCAATCTTCTGCTTCTGCTTAGAATCCTCCAAAGACTTCCCAGCTCAGAGAAAAAGCCAGTTCTTACAGGAGCTGCCAGGCCCTCCTTACCTGCCCCCTGCCTCAGCCCTCAGCCCTCACTCCCCGATGGTCACTACCCGCCTCCCCGATGGTCACACTCCTGCCTCAGGGCCTTTGCACTTGCTGTTCCTGCTGCCCAAATACTCTCTCTCAGGCATCTGTATGCTTCCCACCCCCGTTTTCCTCGGTCTCTGCTTTCACCTCACCTTGTTGGAGGGGTCTTCTCTGACAACACAATGTTAAAAGAAGACCCCCATGTGCATACTCTGCATTCTCTCTTGTCCTTCCCTGTACTTGTCGTCTAACACATTATATATTTCACTTTGCTGTTTATTGTTTGTCTTCCCCCATTAGGATGGGAACTGTGTCCGTGAGGACAGTCCACAGTAGCTGTCCTTATTATTGTACTGGCCGCTCCAGGGCGGGCCCCCTACCATTCCTGGCAGACTGCTGGGGACCCTGAAGGGTTCAGAACCTCTTGAGGTCTCACCACGTAGGAAAACCAGCCCCTTGGTGCTGCTCCCCTGCAGACTGTAAGCCTCTCGGAAGAAGAGCAGATGGATTAGGGCAGCCCACCCAGGCCCAATAGGGTGGGACAGGAGACCTGAAGTTCAGTCCCTGCTTTGCCACAAACGCTTTGTTCTCACCGGGCCTGAGTTTTCTCAGGGAACAATTGGGCAGCCCTGGGAAAAGTGGCTGGCACACAACGGGGGTGCCGTCCCCTTCCAGAGCTTGCGGGGCAAGTCTCCTCCTCCATCTATCCATCTGTCCATGCATCCACCGCCCCCCCACCTCCTGCCAAGTGTTTCTGTGGCGCCCTCTCCGTGCCAGACGCCGTACCAGCTGGAGGCTGTGGAGGACCGCGGGAGAGGTGTGCTGACCTCCAGGGGCTTCCAGGCTCCCTGGAGAGACCAGGTGTTCCCGCAGAGGGAGGGCTTCACGCCTGCGAGTCTGCGAGCAGACATGACTGTCACAGTCACAGCTGGAGGATGGGATCCCTGATGAGCCAAGCTGAATTGTGCTAAGAATCCATCCTGGCTGTGACAGCATGGTGACAGCCACGCGAGGCTGCTGGTGAGCACAGAGGCCGGGGACTGCTATGGGCTCTGGCCACATGGAAGTGTCCTTTGTACTTTTCCTGTTCCACCCTGGGTCTCTGGGGGCCCCCCAGGGTGAGGGCACCTGAGGCCTGCTCTCTGGGAGGCTCTGGAAGGTTAAGGCTGCACATCAAAGTCCCATAAGGCAGGGTGATGGCCAGATATGGTGGTTGCCGTGGACCAACAGCCCTGTGTCAGCTGGCCAGGGCCACGCCCATGTCTGTTTGCCACCAGCGTCACATCCAAGTCCTCAAGGACTTGCTCCCTGAGTGCCACCTGCCAGCCTCCCGGCATGGCTGGGCGGCCCACCCAGCCGGCTCAGCGGTGCCCAGGTGGCCGCTGGAGGGAGTGGCTGCTGAGCGAAAGAGGGTGACATGGACAGGTGCCCGGCCGTAGCTTCCAGGCCTCTCAGGCCCTGGGAAACAGCCATCAGCTCTGGTGACAGAGCTGGGGACAGATTCTGGCCCAGCCACTTCTGAGGTGTGGCTGCATGCCTCCTGTGTTTTAGGCTGTCGTCAGACTAAAGACCGCCAAGTTTTTATTTATTTCCAGGTGCACAAGTTAGTGCTGTTAAAAAAAAAAAAAAAAATCAAACATCTACTCATCAAGTGCTGTATTTACTGAAAACCATGTCAGGCCGAAAAGGAGGCAGGAGAGGACCCCAGAACCCCGGCCATTCAGAGGGGAGCTTCTGTCGCCGAGCAGCTCCCCTGCCCTGGGACGGTGGCTGGAGCAGCGGAGCTGGGGCCGCCGGAGGGGTCAGCAGGCCGGCTGGCCCGGGGCACTGCCCTCCAGGAGGCACTGGGGAGGAACTTGCAGAGGTAAAAAAAAGCCCACTTACGGGGTGGGCCAGACCAGGACCTGCCTCATCGCACAGGTTTCTTTCTTTCTTTTTTTTTTTTTTAAGATTTTATTTATTTATTTGACAGAGAGAGACACAGAGAGAGAGGGAGCACAAGCAGGGGGAGCGGGAGAGGGAGAAGCAGGCTTCCCGCGGTACAGGGAGCCCGATGCGGGGCTCGATCCCAGGACCCTGGGATCATGACCTGAGCCGAAGGCAGATGCTTAACGACTGAGCCACCCAGGCGCCCCTCGCACAGCTTTCTGTGAGGATTTGATGGGGGGTCCTCACCACTGCCTGGCAATGTGCCGTGTAGGGAAAGGTGCTCAGTAAATGTATTATTAATGACAAAGGCCTGTCTGGTTGTCCCTGGAACGGCAGCCTTTTGCCTCTCCTGAGAGAGTTGAAGGGTTTGGTCTCCCACAGGGCCTTAGCGCCAGGTGGCCTCAGGTGAGGGCAAAGCAGCAGGGGGAGGCCCTGAGGCAGCCCCCCGCCCAACTGACCCTCCATGCCCCTCTGGCCCAGGGCTCCTTCCCTGTTCTTCCCAAGCACGGGAAACCTCTCCTGAGGGTCTGTGTGTATGGGAGGGGCAGGGTGGGAAGTCCACTGCCTGTAATGGGCAGTTTCCCAAAGAAGCCAGGGCAGACACAGAAGGCAAGGCGGAGATGCGAGGCCAGCTCTGACAGTGAGAGGGGGTGGCGGGAGAGGTGGAGCTGCCTGCTGACAGAGGAGGGCGCCTCTACATCACCTATTTGCATAAGGTAAAAATATCTCAGGGAGCGCAATCACAGGCCACCAAGGGGCTGATTAGTGGTGTCTGCAGTGACAGGGGGAGGCTCAGGCTGGGGCCCTGGGGAGGGAAAGGGAGGGGAGCTAGGCCTGTCTGCAGTAAAGAGCTCCAGAGCCCAGCAGGGCCGACGGGGATGAGAGGCCTCTACTCCTGGGGGCAGCTCAGGGGCTGCCAGGAAGGTCCCATGGGTGCCTGTGGACCCTCCTTCCCACAGACAAGCACCATTGAGGTCTTAGGGAGGCCAAGAGCTTCCATCTCAGCATCAGCCAAGCCTTGAGCCCTCAGTCTCCTGGTGACCAATGCCCTTGGCCACGGCCAGGATGAGAAGCCAGGCCGGGGAGCAATGGCCTGTGAGGGAGGAGAGCAGATACGCGGCCTGGGAGGAGAGCAGATACGCGGCCTGGGCCGAGCAGCCGAGCCCCAGAGCAAGGGCGGAGAAGCTGCTGGAGCCTGCCTGACTCTGGCAAACTTGTGCTCAAGGCTGACTGCCAAGTGCCCATGAGTCTACAACACCCGTAGGGCTGTGTGGGCTTTTCCTGTCCCGTGTGTCTGGGAGGATGTTTCTCTCCACCCTACTGCTGGACTGAGTGTGACAAACCCAGAAGGTGAGGACGCGGAGGGAAAAGAGCATGGGATCGGGGTGCACAGGTGTGTGACAGGGGCTGCTTGTACCCCTAAAGTCCTAGCTTGCTGACATGCTCTGCTGCCATGGGCCAAAAGGGGGTCGTGATTCCCAAGGTCATGACCAACCTCCTAGTCTCAAACTTGAGGGGGAGCTCCTGCTCCTATTGGTGACTGTAAAGTCTGTCCTTTACAAAAGTAGCCTCCTTTTCTTCCTTGTTACCTAGAGTCCCATAGGTGGGGTAATGCTAAGCAGTGAAACTTTGTTTCTCAGGTGGGGAAACTGAGGCACAGATGGGTCAGGAAGCAGCAAAGTAGGGAGGAGCTCCTCTATGAGAGCCACTGTCCAGGGGGAGGCAGGGAAGGTTGAAAAGAGCTCCAGGGCCCATGCAGAGAGCACCTACTCACCCGGCTTCTTCCAGCCATTTCTTTCCTGAGCTCTAGGCCCCATCCCATAAGTATGTATAGATGTGGGGCACCTGGGTGCCTCGGTAGGTTAAGTGGCTGCTTTCAGCTCAGGTCATGATCTCAAGGTCCTGGGATCGAGCCCCGGGCATCAGGCTCCCTGCTCAGTCGGGAGTCTGCTTCTCCCTCTGCCTCTGCCCCTCCCCCTGCTCATGGTTTCTCTCAAATAAGTAAATAAAATCTAAAAAAAAAAAAAAAAAGTATGTATAAATGCTTCAGGTGAGTAGCTAACCCCAGGTAAGGAAACGTGGGGCCATCAGGAGTCTGAGGAGAGATTCCTGGCCCCCCGGCCCCTGGGAGAGGCCATGAACACGGTAGCAGAAGGCTGAGAACCTGCCGCGGGCCGGGCAGTTTACCCTCATCCCATTCAACGCTCACAAGTACCCCGTCCCCATTATACAGACAGTGAGGTTCAGAGAGGGCGAGTGGCCCACCCAGGGTCACACAGCTGTCTGGCTAGAACTGGAGCCTACAAGCAGTGCTCCTGGCCCAGGCCGCTTGTGAAGTAGCACCAGCTCCCGAGGAGCAGAGCCAGCACAGCACTGGGGGAGGGCATCTAGTCCTCCCCACACCCCACCTCTCTGGCTGGGTCTGGGCGCTGGGCCGCGTCAGCAGGGCTGCCCCCCAGAATTGCTGAGACAATGCCAAGGCAGGCCCACGGGGAGGGTATGTCTGAGAAGGAGCTGCGGATCGATACTGTGCATGAAGCGGCTGTGGGGGGCGGGGGGAGGGGAGCACGCCTGCTGCCACCACAGCCAGCTCCCCAGCTGCCGGCCTCAGAGTGCTGGGGCCGCTCCCACCGCCTTATCGGACCCAGCTCTCTGCAGTCCAAGCACGCCCTGGCAGGGTTGCCGGTCAGGCATAAAAGGCATCTGGTCAGGGCTGCCGGTGACGGACCCGGACCTTCCATGGTGTGAAGTCCCTGTCTGTGCTGTCTCCCTTACCTGTATCTTGGTCTGTGGGCTCTTGGGAGCAGGCCAAGGCCTTGCCTGCCTCTGCACTCCCAGTCTTGGCCAGCACAGAGCCGGTGCCGAAAGAGATTAGT